CATCAACAATTGATATTATAATCACCTTAATCAAGTGACATTCTGCTGTTCGATACGCTTACGCTTTCATTGAACATTTCATTGTCTTTAAGTCTCTGTGTTGTGACAGTATCTATCGTACTTCCAACTTCAAAGTATGGGATATTTTTTGCGCAAATTTTAATAGGGTTTGTAAATTATTATGTCTCTTATTTAACTTTATGCTTTACAATAGGGGTGTTTTGAAAGAATTCTGGTATTGACAGTGTCAATAGTAAGTACATGTATAGGCTTATGTCGCCTCTGTATTATGGTCTGCAGAGTGAGACATGTACCCCATCCCTTAACATTAGAATCATTTGATAATTGTGCACCATAAAATCAACAAGATCTCTCTCTTCTCCATTTAAATTCGTAGTGTGAAAAAAATATATGTGCTAATGTTTACACTCCACAACCATGCGGTTTAAATGACTCCGCCTATTTGCGGATACCCTAGATTCGAAAGTGGTCCCGTTCAAATTTCCGGAATTTAAGGCTTTTACATGTTCATTTCAATTACATTTTTCTGTAATTATAGAAATATGTATGACAAAAAATTCTAGAAAAGCATATGCTTGCACATTAATCATAGATACATTTAGCGATATATTGTATTGTTAAGCTTAAAATGGGTGGCTGAAAAGATTCCAACTCTCATAGCTTAAGTGCATTCATTCTTTGACAATTTCTCTCTTATATAATAAGTTATTCAGATGATTATTTTTAAAAGTTCATTCTTATTCAGAAGAAAAAAATGTATTGTTTTAGTGTTTAGTTTACGGTTTTACTTTTGCAACCTTTTTTCTGAATATGATTGAGGGAATATTCTACTTGAAAAATATTTTGAAGAAAAATACGAGGGTTGATCCAAAAGTAATGTAACAGTGTCCATATCATTTTTATTTGGTGTCATATTATCAAATACGATATACCAAAATATGCACATATATGAATCTAATCAACATCGAAATTTTTTGTTTAATAATGTTAAATTAAATCAATTCTATAGATGTTTACACTTTACAACATCAAGCATCACATCTAAACGTCATGTTTTAAAGAATATTTTTCAGGATTAAAGAGAAAACCATTCAATACATGTAAAGCGTGCCTTATCGCCCAATTTTTTTTTTTAAAGACAACAGTGATTTACATGTTTTTCTCATGATCAGTTAAAATCAAATGCCGCCATTGTTAATTTTTATTTAAAAAATGTGTTCGACTCTGAATCAAAATGGGGGGAAACGCCGTAACGAGCTGTAATGCATTTTGCATTTTTACTTCAAAATGGGGGAAATTACCAGTATAGACTGTTAACACTGATTGATAAGACTCTCAATAGTAAAAAAAAAATAAAGAAGAGTCTTGTTTATTGATAATTTCAGCGATTTTAGGAAGTACAATAGGTAATTGTATTATTTTCGTAAACAGGAACTGCAAGAAGAGAGGTCGGAAGGAAACGTTCAACATGGTGTCTGATTTTGTGAAAAGACATCGTGTATCTGTAAATGGATACGGACACTGTCATATTATACTGTTCAGAAATTTGTGCACGTATTCAAGAATCTCAAGTATTTTTATGCGCCCGGATCCTGTCTGTCTGTCTGTTTGTCTGCAAACTTTAACCTTCGCCATAACTTTTCAACCATGAATGAAAGAGACTTTATATTTGGTGTGCATACTCCACTAATTAACCTCTTTCAAATGACACCAAGGTCAATGACCTTGTGATCTAGACTTTGACCTATATGCTAAAAATATATTTTTTTCTGCAAACTTTAACCTTCGCCATAACTTTTGAACCATAAAAGATAGAGACTTAATATTTAGGTATGCATACACCACTGATTAAGCTCTTTTAAGAAACACCATGGTCAATGACCTTGTGACCTTGACTGTGACTTTCACGCTAAATATAACTTTTTTGTCAGCAAACTTTAACCTTCGCCATAACTTTTGAACAAAGAAAGATAGATGCTTCATATTTAGCATGCATGCTTTACAAATTAAGCCCTTTCACATGACGCCAAGGTCAATGACCTTGTGACGTTGTCTGTGCCCTATACGCTAAAAATAGCTTTTTTGAACCTTCACCATAACTATTAAACCATGAGAGATACAAACTTCATATTTGGTATGCGTACTTTACTAATCAAGTTCTTTCAAATGACACCAAGATCAATGACCTTTTGACCTTGACTGTAACCTTTATGCTATAAATATGTTTTTGAACTTTGTTGCCGCTGGGCGCTTAGTGTTTTACAAACACATTTTGTTTTATTGGGAAACGTTTTTAAGTATGACGGCGCATATCCATAATACGACGTTATTTAGATGCAGCGACTACCAAATTCGAGCATTGTATATAATTCTACATTTTTAAAAGTATTATTTACTTTGAATTAAAATTTTCAGGTCTGCTTCTAAATAAATATAGCTTCCATGCATCATTTATAATTTTGATGTTGTACGCCGATTAGTAGCAATTTAAATGAAGCTGTGACATTACTTTTGGATCTACCCTCGTATAAACTACTTTAAGGTGGCTCATTACATCCACAGTTTATTTTAGATTTCATGACAGCACCACTCAATATGTAGATGCCAAATATCCAAATGGAGATATTGATATCGTAAATATTTTTTAGAGAATTTTTTAACTTTCTTTTTATTTTAGTGAAATGTTTTATTTCAAGTTTATTATTTCCAGAATTTCAGAACTTTCAGTGTCAAATGATGGACATCTTCTTTAGACAAGTACACACAATGAAAATACTTCATAATACCTAATATTAATTTTATTAGAAAAAATAGTTTTCTTCTAAAAAACAATAAATGTCATAATCTTTTTAATCTGCGCATAAAATATTTTAAAAATGAGTTCTGAAGAGACAAGGAATGTATTTCAATGAATTGCTTGTGACAAATTGAAAGAAAAATGTTTTAACGAAATGAAAATTCCAATTTCGAAAATATTTGGTATAAAATGTCCTTTTTCAAGAGTTATCTTTCCTAATTACCCAAGACTCAAAACACAAAGGAACGTTTGAACATTACATCTAAATTTCAAAATAAAGCTTTAAACTTCCATAATATATATTTAAATCAATAAAGCAAATGTATAAATTAACACCAACACAGTAAATTGTGCAAGTAAATAACATCTTTAATTTCAACAAGGTTGTAGATTTAAACTCGAATTTCCTCCATGCAAACACGTTGATTGATAGAGCCCACTGCTTCGACATGTCAGAAATTGCACATTACTTGTTTGGCGAAGATTTGGCTGTTGTTTTCTTTTGTTTCTGCTAAAAATTAATCCCTCTTGGTGTATGTAAAATGAATCCGTTACTTTGTTTTCACTGTTTATAACACCGCATGTTTCATCTATTTTTAAAGCGTTTTAAAGGTCAGGGTCATATAAGTGAGGTACCCATACGATTCGACCCCAAAGTAATTCGGTCGAAATAATGGAGGTTTATTTTTTTGTGTAGTACGTCATCAAAAAGTGGTGTAATGAGCCTCCTTAATTGGTTGTACGTAGAACATGCTCTAGCGTTACGAAACAAGTTGAAGACATAAACTCTAAATGCAGGTGACAGTGGTATACAGTAAAATTGCATATTTTCATGGGGTCAAATTTTCGAAGTTTGAGGAAAAAACATTGGTTTGTGGGGATTTGAATTCCTGATTGAAAATGTTTACTAGTAATGCATATGAAATTTTACATTTCGTGTTGTTCATAAATTTGTGGGTCTCTCCTTAACTCGAAAAGAGCGAAAAATTAACTCTAGCGAAAATTTAAGATTTCACAGTATTGCTGTATAAAAAGGATAGCTTACGATAGAAAAATGGAAGTCTTCACGTTAATTAATCAAAGAGTTCAGTTATTGTTAGATTCCATACATACCTAAAGAAGTTCTTTGAAAGAGATACTTCAAACTGTGTTGTTAAAGATTGTATTAGGAAACATGTATCTAAGTTACAAATTTATTTCTATGCTCGAAATCAAGAAATATGATATCAAAAGTGTTCTACAGAAGTTTGAGTAAAGAAATGATTCCTTTGCTACAAAAAAAGAAAGCGAAATTTCATCTTGGATTTTATGAAACAGAAAATAAGACATGGATTTAAATACGGTGTTATGAATATGAATTATTGGGTGAAAATAGTAAGCATTGAAAAAAAAATATCAATAATTAATCTGATTTAGATATTAGATATCTCTTGAACGGATTTGCTTAATTTCTGCAGTGACGCTAAACATGAATGATTTATAAGAGAATGGTAAGATGTAATGTAATAACAATGGAACCAATATTTAAAGTTTTAATTTTTAATGTCCTGCTTTTAATTGGGTGTTTATCCATCAATCCTCATGCTCCCCAATGGACAGTAGAGATGGTATCACAAGGCGGCTATTACACGTCTTGTTAAACAAGCCTTGATTAAACCTAGTAAAGACTGACGCCTGAGGACATTTCGCACAGGAATAAGCTTTGAAGCTTTCTGACGCCTGAGGACATTTCGCACAGGAATAAGCTTTGAAGCTGAACTAGCAAAATCGTCCTTTTTAAAGAATATTTAAACTGTATCATTTCAGAAATATACAAAAATAAAATAATACAGAATCATTAATAGAAAATGAGATAAACTGGTGAATGATTGGTATTAACATCAAAATACCTTTTATTTAAAACAATTCCAAACACAAACTGTTTAATCAAATATGTCTTGATTGATATTTATCATTTACTAATCAATTATTTGTTTGTTTGTTTAAGACTATAATATAACGTTTTTAGGAAATTAATCCTATGGTTGCAATCTATTCCTGCGCAATTTATTCCCTTGTATTCAAGGATTCAAAATACGCTCATATTTATTTTTATTGGAAAATCTGCATAAGGTTTATGAGTATTTATCTGGTTTGGTTTTGTTTACAATTATATATTTGTTTGTACTTTATATTGTTTCAGCAAAGGACTGTAAAATATCCGTGGAAGGTCTGGAATACAGAGGGAACATCTCAGTAACTGTTTCCGGTAAATCATGCCAGAGGTGGGACAGCCAGACTCCACATCGACATAGTTACGCCGAAAGACTTCCGGGGAATGCCAGTGAACACGAAAACTACTGCAGAAACCCCAAACCTGGAATGGAAGCTACCCCATGGTGCTATACAATGGACAGATATACAAGATGGGAGCACTGTCAAATTCCATTCTGTGGTAATGAGTTACTCATGTATTAAAGGATTTTTGTTGAATTTTTATGTTGAAAGATAATAAGATAAGTGTTTTACTTAAAGAATAAATATATTATCTACTAGTATTCGGCAAATAACATAAATATGATCTGTGAAGTAATTTTGAGGATCCAGGTATACTATAATTAGGCAAATCAGAAGAAACACTGATTTAAGGAAATTGCTGAGTTTACATTAAACAGTTATTGAACACTCAGAGACAGGATTTGTTTGGCCATTTATTTTTATAATACTATTATTTTATTCAAGCAGCTCCAATGCGCTTTTGAAAAAAAAATATCTGTGCACTTGAAACGATGTTCTTATTCTGACAACAAACTCAATGCCTCCTGTTTAATTAAAATCATTCCTTGTTTTAATGTAAAACAAAAACAAGAAAACATGATTTTATACGAACCTCTTTGCAATAATGCATTTGTAATTGTAAGTAAAAGGAAAATAACTGCTGCCTGAAGTATTTCTCTAGAGGTTGGAAGGTGTCTGCATTTCGTCTCCTTTATTGTCTATAATCTACCCAATAGAAGCATGATTAAATTATCTTTTATTTCATATATCTAAATAGCTTTATATGTTTAATTATGAGAAACTTTGAATTTAAAGAGATTTTGCATTAACATTTCTAGTGCTAGACTGTAGAAAAACCAGAGAAGGGATGGAGTACAGAGGAAACAAATCTACTACTATTTCTGGAAAGACATGTCAGAGATGGGACCGACAGTCGCCATGGACCCATAGTTACACCAACGTTTTGCCTGGTAACGCCAGTATACACGAGAATTTCTGCAGGAACCCGCAGTCAAAGGACGCAAATGGCCCCTGGTGCTTCACTACGGACCCCAGCATGAGATGGGAGTACTGTGATGTACCTTTCTGTGGTAATAGATTTTTTCCATCTACAAAATTCACATTGCAGTTAATTAACTTGATTTCTGTCTATAAAGCATGAAAATAAATACAAATGAAACTGATACAATATGAATAAAAGAACAGTCTTTGAATGAAATTTTTATCTATTTTATACCCCCCAAAAATATATACATGTACTTGTAAGTGCTTTGGAAAATGTCAAACAAAATATTTATCTGATATAAAACATTCCTTTTGATTAGAGCTCTGCATTGAGTTTTCCCAGTTATTTTTATCGATTAATTTGCATTTATTGAGATAAACACAAAATAAAAAAGGATTTTAATTGTTATGAAGAAATATGGATGATGGCATGAATTTTTTTCACCTTGTTAATGATATGTTTTAAAGTTGAATGTTCATTATTGAATTAAATTTAAAAATCTCGGAATATATATTTCAGAACCCTCTTTAGCAAAATGAATAACCATCTGTATAAATATTTGGACATTTATTTCTACTAAGACTATATTGTAGATCAATAAAAATGCAACAATTAAACGGGAATTGTCTAGGCTATCACTTCTTTAAGTGGTACTTTAAGTGCCTTATTTACTTTAACCTGTTGATAAAACAGAGATTGCCAGTTAAGTGGACATACAAACGATAGACAATCAGTTAATGAAGTGAACATTTCATATAAAGAGCAAAATAGAAATAATGCAGAGATAAACGACCATTTAATTAATTGAGACAAGCATGATGGACATTGAAACACCATTCGTTCTTGTTGTAATACACCTACCATTTACATTTATTTTATATCATTATTTTGTTTTACATCAATTACTGAATGGTTGATGATTTTGAATCAAACATATGTAAATGGTTTGAAAATAAGCATAGCTAAGCTTAGGTAATCAATAATGAAAGAGAATGTTGCATCTCCTTTGTAATGTTCCTGAAAAGTGCAGCAAATAATACCAGCAACTAAAATTTACAGAAAACAATGTTAGTAGTTTTTATTTTTCAGATACTTATATAATTGGAAGTATCATGTTAATTTCAATTAATGATAAAACGATAAGGTACAAAATTTATAAAACAAATACTAGTATGTCAGAGATTTTGTGCTTTTCATAAAAAAAGGGAATTCCCATTGCCTCCTTGAAACAAAGCTATAAAAACTTCCTTTTCAATTTCTTAAAGAATGTAGAGACACAATTAAAGGAGAAGAATACAGAGGCACCATCTCCCATACCGATAGGGGGCGTGAATGTCTTAGATGGGACAGCTCCCTTTCTCCAGAACCATTATTTGCCTTATATCTGGAGGGAAATTCAAGTTCGCATGAGAATTTCTGCAGAAATCCTGCTAATCAAGGCGAAAAACCTTGGTGCTTTACAGATCCATCTGAAAAGTTAAAACAATATTGCAACATTCCCATGTGTTCTCAAAGTAAGTATTTTTTTTGTTCATTCGTTCATAGCTGCTTTAATAAGACACTTAAAGTTGTCTTTTTGTTTCTGTAATGTTATTTATCGAACAAAGCTAATTAAATATAATAAAATACGGATATAACGCACAATAATCAAGGTGAAACGTCCATTGAAACATCATTAATCGGATTCAGAGTAAACATGGACATCTAAAGACATTAGAGGTGAGGTCAGGTGTTATAACATAAGAGTTGTTTAAAAGGAATATGTGTTGCTGGCGCTTTTTTCACAGAGATATTAGTTTTCAATTTGAAAATTTATATTTTTAAATTCGTCTTTTAGGTAACAAAGAGTGCTTAGACAGCACCAAAGGTCAATATTACTTTGGAACTGTATCTAAAACCGAAGATGGCATAGAATGCCAACGCTGGGACAAATTACAACCACACAATCACAGGTTTGTCTAATAGATGGATTCATGGGACTCTCTGCCTCTGAACACGAGAATTACTGCAGAAATCCCGGCAACGGGGAGAGACCGTGGTGTTACACAGTGAACGAGACAGTCCGGTATAGGTACTGCGATATTCCGCTATGTAATATAAGTAAGCAGTCTTTATTCCTTAATCTTATACTAGCATTCAGTTCAGTTTATCAGAAAATATTTCCAATTGTAAATTTTCTCAGCTGTGAAAATTCTTTTAAAGTTAGCGGAGTTAATTTCTTGATAATTCTACCGGAATGTAAATTAGGCAGGTCAATAGGTCAGGAGCTAAGGAGGTCTAATATGCATGTAAATCTCGTACGCATCTGTCTCTGAATCTGACGCTAAGGAGGCCAAATATGCATGAAAATTTCGTGCGTGCCGTTGTGTTTGATGTCAGTGGGCGGGGACTATTGAAAGTGGAATGGGAATCCTCGTGTAATTTAAATCTATGTCTGCATTTTTAAAGTCTAAATCTGCAATTTTATTTCACGATGAAATGAAAATATAACGAATCACTGTCTAGTTAGTATAGTATGCCAGGGACATCAACACTAGTGTGAAACATGGGATAATTTATGCATAGCGGGCGAAGCCCGCTATGCAAATTATTTCATGTTTCGCGTTAGTATTGATGCCCTGGCATACTATACTAACTAGACAGTTATTCCTTAAACAACACGTTAAATAAACATATCAAAGTGTATTGACGCGGTCTGAATAGAATGCAAATTAGGATAAGCTGTATCCAAAACTCTATATGGAGTTAAGTTTAATTACAGTCTTTTAATATCTGAAATCCTTGCATTGCGAAGCAAATGTATAAAAAATTATGGTTTTAGTCAAATACTTGAAATTCACACATAAATATTGTTCGAAATCTTTCAAAGTCGATGGAAAGATTTTCATAGTTTCAACGGACAATGAAAAAAATCTATTTATTTATTGGCGAAAAAAATGCCAAATGCACCGAATAAACTATGCTTCTTAATTTAATTCAGAAATACTTAACTTCAAATAAAAATATACTCACAAAAAATTCAAATACCGAGTACTGGATTATCAGTTGAAACACAAAAAATATCGCCTCATAATTCAATGGAATTTTAATAGTTTTTAAATTTCTATAATTCAGAAGACTGTAGGGAGACGAAGAAAGGTATGGAATACCAAGGAAAACATAATATCACTCGTGGTGGTATAGGCTGCCAGCGCTGGGACAGCACCTACCCCCATGTTCCTAACAGAAGGATAAGTTTCCCAGGGTCGACTTTATCGCGCCAGGAGAACTACTGTAGAAACCCTGACGGTGAACCTTCACCCTGGTGCTATACCGTGAATCCTGACGTACGCTGGCAGACCTGTGATATCCCCTTCTGTTTAAACTGTGAGTACAAAAATGTAAGATAAGTCTAGGCAAATAGGTACTCATCGTCTATAGCCACTGTCTGGAGTCCGCATTTATCTCTCTCCAGAATGGGAGAAGATCGTGCATTCTAGTCATGGTTTGCGACGATGATAGGTACTGTAAACAATTTATATTCGCATGCGAGAAATATTCTAGAGTTGTGCGACATATTTTTTTAACTCGTGAAATTTATCTCCGTGAACTATTTATTTTGCTTTATATTCGTAGATAATGTTTTCTCAGTCGCAAAAATTAATCCTCGTGGATAAATTTGAAACGGACAAATCACGAATAAAAGTTGACGCAAATAATCGTTGGTTTACAGTAATTATCTTACAATTAAAGGTATTGTATTAAATCTTTGCTTCTTACATTGTGTAGATAAAAGGGGTTCGAAAAAACGATCATGTATGTACATCTATGACAATTACGGATTCAAGGTCCAATTTCATTTTAGATGATTATGAGATGGAAAACTTTTTTAACGACAATCAGATGTCAAGATCATATATTGAAAAAAAAACTTTAAAAGATTATGCTGAAATGAATCTTTTCAAAAAAATAAATCGAGATTGTTTTCATTGTTCCAAGTGAAGCAATAATGATTGATTGTATACTGTTTAACGTCCCTCTCCAGAATATTTCACTGATATGGAGACGTCACCATTGCCGGTGAAGGGCTGCAAATTTAGGCCTATGCTCGGCACTTACGGCCTTTGAGCAGGGAGGGATCAAAAATGCGATTATTTGTCAGTTTAGTAAGTCAGCCATCTTTACTTTTATTTGGTAGCTTCCTTTCAATGTGATTTCTCGGGAGGAATGTGTGGTCTAGAACAACCGAATGACACAGGAATGACTTGGTTGTTGGACAAGAATGGTATGTATTGAAAATGTTTTAAAAGAACGAAAAACATGAACAGAACAGTGATCGATCATTAAAAGTAAAGAATAAAAAAAATTGTGAACAGCTAGGACATAAAAACCCGGATCCCTCGAAATCTATAGCTTACCGCAAGGATTAAGCCGACTGTGAATTCTATACATCGATTATTCTGTGCTCAAATTTAGTATTTAAACGAAGCCTAACATTACCGACCGGCAGAGGATGTTCACTCCTCCATGGCACCTGATTCAAACTCTGATGTTTTGGAGGCCCGTGTTTGCTATGGTCCTATTTTGTGTTCTTTTATGGATTTTTTTTTATCTTGAATACTGTACGTTATATTCATATCTTTCATCTTCAGCAATATAATATGAGTTGTATTTTTTTGTTAGTTTGCAATTTGAATAACGTAAAAAAATTATTAACTTACGCTATTCATATTTGAATTGAAATTACTATTTAGAGGGTTTGATCGAAACAAAACTACAATAATAATACTGTCTTTCTTTTAAATTCGAAATACTCAGAGGTAATGAGAATAATAAAAGTTAGAATTACAGGCAAATTTTTCATATTATAGTACACTTTACATTAAGGTAAACACAGTTCATCATAATAGGATTGATTGTATACTGTTTAACGTCCCTCTCCAGAATATTTCACTGATATGGAGACGTCACCATTGCCGGCGAATAGCAAATTTAGGCCTATAATCGGCACTTACGGCCTTTGAGCGGGAAGGGATGATTATCGTGCCAAACCTGCTGTGACACAGGGCCTCGGTTTATATGGTCTCATCCGAAGGACCGCCCCATTTAGTCGCCTTTTATGACAAGCAAGTGGGTACTGAGGACCTATTCTAACGCGAATCCCCACGGGATCATCATAATAGGAATATTGCTCTTTAAAGTCATGTGTCTGAAAATAATTTAAGAAATGACAACTTGGAGCTTTAAAAATACATGTATGTCAATAATAAACTTCTTTTTCAGAACAATCTTTACGTTGGAACCGTCCTCCAGAAAATGCGTCTAATTCGCAGTTATTTATTTCTACCTTGACAACACCTCTCTTGCGCTCTGTGACAACGGCCACCTGTTTGCTGCTGACCTATCACAGTGAGGGTATAGAGCTACTCCTGTCGACGTCCACAAAAAATCTGACAAAACTTAAAGAAAGCTCTGAGTTTAGAAGTGTTAAAGTCAACATACATCCTCAGCCAGATAATTACAAGGTCTGACTCAATCTTTTTATTCTCTTTTTCCTCCATGGCACCTGATCCCACCTCTGATGTTTTAGAGGTTCGTGGTTTTTCTGCTCCTATTTTGTATTGTTTTATTGATTTTGATATTGAACACTGTTCTTATCTCCATATCCTTAATCTTTAAGTGTTTTTAAACAGATGTCTTTACATAGTTGTTTTGCTTTTGAAGGTATTTATTTCGCCACGCATCGCTGCATTTTCACAAGCTGGATCATCAATAGTAGCAGCTATTAAATTTATGAAGATTGAAAACGAGCCATGTACTGGTATACCATTCTTAAAACAAATTTAATCTTGAAATATTTTTGGATAAATAATTTACAAATTGATTATTTTCTTTAAATTCTTGTTTGCGAAGATTGCTTTTCCTGCCTCGATGACAGATTGTGTATTAGTGAGGGGTTTTGTGATATGGTCCGAGATTGTCCTGACAACAGTGACGAAGAAAATTGTGGTGAGCACATATTAGAGTTTCATTTGTTCAGATAAATTGTGGAGAGAAATAAAATTAATCATCCATTTTTACAGCTTTAGAGTGCTACCATGGAAATGAGTACAAAGGATTTCGTACAGAGACAAAGTACCTTCATCAATGCATGGCAGAATTAGGAAGTACTTGTAGGTTCGACTTGTCAAGCAAAAGAGAGCCGGGTTGCTTTGTCGACTCCGAGTTTAAATGGGAGGAATGTAATGTACCAAAATGTGGTGAGAATTGTTACAAAATTTGATTTTCTTATATATCTATACAAGTAAACTCTGATTTAGAATTATCACCTTTTACAGCTTTATAAAGCTGTAAAAGACTGCTTCAATAAAGTAATATTTCCATTTCCAATTGTTTTCCCTAGGATAAGCACTACAAAAGTGAATCTTGTTAATTTTTCCATGATTCCCGTGGCATGTAAATTTTTCTTATTGAAATACTTGCTTCGCCCGTTATGCAAATTATCCAATGTATCCCACTATTGTTGATGCCCTGGCATAGCCTCCTAACTAGACAGTGATTCCTTAAATAAACACCGCGGTTGAGAACCTGCTTTTACATTTTAGTTCTTTTGTTCACATAAATATTTCTTATATTTTTTTTACAAACAAAATAAACAATGAATTATCTTCGGATCAAAAGCAAGTCACTAGCAACGCTGTACATTATCACCGAAGCCTCGCGAGACCGAGAACTTCACTTCCCTAAACATGGTAAACAACCCATCTGAACCTCGTGGAGAAATCGGCCACATAGATCTATACTCCACCATCCGATACAGACATCGTTCCTCAGTCATTACCATCCGACTTCTTACGTTCTATTTCCTGACCATGCTGACCAACTCCCGTTTCATCAACTGCAACATTGCATTCAGTATGGCGTTGGAGAAGTGACCTACAGCCTATACACGTGTTCGTGCTTCCGACGACCTATATCTAGGTCACATATATAATTAAAGTTTGCAAGATTGCTTTGATCATAGTAAAAAATTCTTTTATTGTTTATTTCATAAATGTTGAAATTTGACTGCGGTATAACTAAAAAATCACTAAATTTGTTTCGTGTTTGTACGGGACTATTTTTTTATAGTAAAATTTGACGTCATGGGGCGGGGCAATGGAAAATAACATGGAATGCCTCTTGCATTTCAAATCTACTAAGTTAGACGGTATTTCGATTTATTTTAGGATTGTTCTGTAGAGTAAAAATGGAAATATAAGGAATCACTGTCTAGGTATGCAAGGGACATCAACAATAGTGGAAAACACGGCGGTTGAGAACCTGCTTTTACATTTTAGTTCTTTTGTTCACATAAATATTTCTTATATAGATTATTAAATATAATTCCTGATGAATAAAACAGTACAAACTAGGTCTAGGATTAATGTTTTTGATATTTTGCAGATATAGGGAATTTGATTTGTGACTTTGAACAAGATTTGTGTGACTGGCAACCAATGAAAATCGGAACTAAATGGAACCGTCAAATAGCTGAAAACACTGGTAAAATAAACCTGAGTTTTTTTTATAACATCATCAAAAAGAGCCAATTTATTCCAGCGCTTTTCATGAATAGCCTTGGTGTGAAATATTGTTTAAGAATTCTGAATTTGTGATAAATATATTATACCTTGATGTTTGTTTTATTCATTTGCCAACTTTCATAATGTTCAAATGGATTTTAAATATATATTCAGTAGTATGATTTTACTTATTACAGGAGAAATATTTGCCTCTGCTGAAAAGAAAGAAAGTCTGAGTGGAAATACGGAAGAGCGGGCTGTTTTATTCAGCAAACCACAGCCTTCGTCGTCCGAGTTTGGGTGTATAACAATGACGTATTCTGGAGAAAATGTCAATTTAAATGTTTATATAACACAAGGCACAATGCTTACCTTGGATAGGATGTTTTTTCAGCGACAGAATGTAAATTCAAACCTTTTTGCGACTACAAGCTTTCAAACACCTATTGACATACCTTATATGGTAAGGGACTTTGCAAGATCTCTTTTATGTGGACTTGGAAGTTATGTATCAAGTATCTTTTAAAATAACGCCTAAAAAAGGGGTCAAGAAGGATTTCTGTTTTTATTTTGTCCCTCGTTTACCTGTTGTTGGTTATTAACTTTTCTAATTTACTTCTTTGAATTCTTTTGACCCTCTTTTTATATGAATCATATGTAAAACATATTATATTCTTTTAAATGTCACCACGAGTGCCAAACAAGGTGAACAGGGTATTCACAGGGACTAGTAAGTAAATTTCAGTCAAGTTCAAGCATCCGATGAAGATCCTTAATGTATTTGATTGACAGGCGTACACATACTATACTAATCAAAATTTCTAAGTCCCCAAGTAAGTTTTTGTTTTACAGTGCTTTTATATTAAATAATTCAGACAATACAAATTGAAAACCATACAGACAAAAAGAAGAAAAATATTTTTTTTTCACTTAATCTAATTATATTGAATGACTTTAACACAAAATGCAGAAGAGTGAAGGCCCCTAGAAATAAAAATTCGCAACGTTCAATACTGTTTTTATCCTCCGTGCAAACGAATTAACATCAAGACAATTGCATCTCAATGAGTTCACACAATTCAAGAAAAATCTTTATGGAAGAATATTCCATGTATGGACTAGGTCGTCCTCTATATTTCCGCCAGATTCTGCCACTGGAAAAGCGCTCAATCTCTGGTCCATCTTGTCCCATTCATTTTCTATAGGGTTAATTAAGATGTGGATGACATTGAAGCTTACCGAAATTGTTTGTTCCCAGTATTAATCCTACAGTACTTCAACGCATTCCCCTTCTTCCAGTTCGTTTCTAATAATTTGGATAATTAAGGAGACTTGAATTAATTTTTAATGAGTGCAGAGCAATTGTACGTGCAGATAGGTTCCTTCCACAATAGTTAGTAATTCTTATGTAGTAGCCCTGTTGATGTGTTGTTGCAATACGTGTATACGCCTTGACCATGGGCACTTCCGGTTCCGGTGTGAGTGAATTTCTGGTTAAACTTTAGGGTGGTTAAGTGGTATTTCTTGAATATCTAGCAATTTTTAATGATTATAAGGAAAACAAGTAAGCTTTGTGCATTTTCCTGGCGGTATTTTCAACGGTTTTACATAAAATAAACAAATACAAACCAACTTTTTGCCACCACCAGCTTGGACCATGGCAACTTCACTTGCACATTGTCGTTCGTACATACACGGCATTTTAAACAAGCTTTTTTTCTGTTTTTCCTAAACAACTAAAGATGGAGAACACATGGCAACTTAAATAAATGGAAGATACACCCGAAAACATTTGAAACTTGCACTTCATGCTTTTTAACAAAAAGTGTCATGGATGAGTAATTACACACTCGATTTCAATTTTTTTTATGCTGTAACAGGCAATCAGCGAAAAATTAACATCAAAATTGTGAGCAACTAGTTAATTAATGTTAAGGCTTTTAAATACTTAAAATAATAAAAGTGGGGACTTTTGACAAGTATATGTATTTTTGTAGGCGGTTCTTAAAATCTCTGCCTATAAGAATCAATATTCTTTAAGAAATAAAATTCTGAAAACCAAGGCAACGATAAGAGATTTCATTTATCTTTCATATATATCTTTTTTTTAAAAGATGACCCATGCAGGCTTTAAAATATCTTTAGTCATTCAATTTCTCTATATCAAAGTTTCAATTTTAGGTAACAATTGTTGCAACGTTCCAAGCTAATGTAACTGGTATTATACGGCTTGGAAAAATCAGTTACGAAAAAGGAATTTGCAAAGGTAAATATATTAATTTTTAAGAAAAAAATATTAGATATCAAAGTTCTTTTTAATAAAAATATTTTGTATTTCAGTGATAATTATCTTTTTGACATTAAAAATGATAAATCTTCTAGATAAGGGTCCTTGTTACAAAACACAATATCAATGCGACGACGGAAGATGTATTAATGTAGAGCAGTTTTGCAACAAGGAAAATGATTGTCCAAACAACGAAGACGAAAATGTCTGCAATTACAACAGTTCCCAATGTGTGCAAATGGACAAGGGGTGTATCCTACCTTGCCCCCACCAGTGTAATTGTAAAGGAGTAGTTTTCATGTGCCAATATCCGGGAAATGTGTCAAGAGAGGTCAGAGTACTTGATCTCAGTTCAAGCAATTTCAACACCACGGAATTAAAAGATTTCAATTTCCTCTTACATTTGAATTTATCTGGTTGTTCGATAGAAGATTCCTCACTTCAGGATCTAGGAAAGCAACTACAATCTCATAGCCTTCAAACATTGGATATCTCGTTTAATAGAATACGAAATTTGCAACAGAGTATCTTTGAGGAACTTTCAAACATATTATACCTTAATGTTTCACACAATCAAATCACAGATCTACAAATGGACTTCCTCGGAGTCCTTCATGAGTTACGGCATTTGATTCTTAGAAATAGCGAAATAGTGATGATTCATTCGAAAGAAATCTATAGTCTGTTCAATTCTAACCTCGAGTTGCTAGATTTGAGAAACAATAAAATAAAAACAATTTTTCCAAAAGCACTGCACTGGCTTAGTTCCTTATCCAAATTATTATTGAGCAACAACTCCATTACAAATACTGATGACTATTTCTCAAGATCAATGAAAATGCTGGTTGAAGTAGACCTGAGTTTTAATTCTATTAATAATATCACAGATAACATGTTTTCGGGTTTGAGGAGACTGGGATACCTTAATTTACAAAACAACCAGATACAAGTTTTAAATGATTTTTCATTTTCTACACTGGCATCTTTACAAACACTTAATCTTGCTTTCAATAAAATTCACACAATTAAAAAAAAGGCTTTTGAGAACATGGTATCAATCACCAAATTGAACCTCACTGGAAACCAGTTAAGAACACTTTCTCCAGCAAGATTCGTGGCTTTGGTTAAACTTCAGATATTGGATTTATCAAACAATGACATGGATGTATTGGAGAGTGACGCATTTAGAAGACTAGAAGAAGTTAAACGTCTATATATAAACAAAAACAATTTACAGGTGTTCCGAACTATGTTTCAGGGTCTTTGTAACCTTGAATGGATATGGACAGACTCTTATATTATTTGTTGTGCCAAACCACTGTCTGTTCAAGCTTCAAAATGTATTTCTCCGCGAGACCGAATCTCGACCTGCGAACAGTTGATCAGTGTTGGGTTTTTGGCCCAAATGATATGGTACGTGGCCCTTTTCTCCTTCATCGGGAACCTTTATGTTATATATTACCGCATGAGAAATACCAATGAAGGAAGGAATAATGCACACGGAATCTTTGTTTTAAACCTAAGCTTTTCCGATTTATTAATGGGAATTTACTTGTTCATAATTGCTGTGACAGACATGAAATACCGTAATGAGTATGGTTTTAACGATAGTCAGTGGAGATCGAGTACCACCTGTACTGTTGCTGGCTTACTTGCAACAGTTTCTTGTGAAGCATCAGTGCTTTTTGTATTTTTAATAACTTTGGAACGATTTTTAGCCTTAAAATACCCCTTTTCTACCGAATTCCTAAAAAAGAAAAAACATAAATCTGTGATTTCAGTAATTGTATGGCTTATGACCATCTTTTTAGCAGCGTTTCCTATCTCGGTATACCCAGACTTCTATAGCAGATCTACAGTTTGTATCTCTCTTCCGTTAACGGCTGAGAGAGTAGCTGGATGGGAATATGCTACCTTTGTTTTTATAGGATTAAACTTAATGATATTCATTGCTATATTGGTTGGACAGATTCTGATATTTGTTGAAGTGAAGGTCATTGGAAGTGCCTTACAAAAAGACAATAGGAAGAGAGAAATGGCTGTGTTAAAATCTCTGTCTTATGTCGTCTTGTCGGACATGTGTTGCTGGATCCCTATAATATTGATTGGTAAGAATTTCTTAAATAAAGATGTTCAGATTTTCTCTTTGGAAAATAAACATTCTCTTTCGAAAATACCATCACCATGCAATGCTTAAGGTCAAGATCTAGTAAATGGAAGGTGCCTTCAGATTTTTCAAATTTAAGAAATTAATTCTTTTAATTCTTTTAATGATGCTTTATAATATTAGCTTGGTCAAAATAGATGTTCCGGGACATAATTGATAGAAAAACAAGATAAAACATATTAAACATATACTCAATTAAAAAAACCGCATAATTTTAACTCATCAAAGAAATTTTGAAAAAAGTATATGGAACAACTATCTTTTTTATCATAAAATACCTGTTACCTGTTTAAAGTACACCATGGACTTTTAAACCCTAATTGTTGAGTTATTTCCATTGATCAATAACATTGATGAAAATAGTGTATTGCATGATTTCTTGTAAATTGGGGGTCTATTTTCAATGAAATTTTGGATTTAAAGAAACAATAATCACTCCTATTTAACCCATATTTTTACTTTGCTTGCAATGTTGATGCTGTAATGCAACGCCTAAACAAAGATGAACGCAATAGGGCTCTAATATTGATTCTAACCGGAACTTCGCAACTGCAAGTTGCAACTGCATTTGGTGTACTTAAATCGGCTTTGCAGCAGTTAAACCACGTCTACACCAGCTAGGAACAATGATGCAAGACCTAGCACTCGCCGTTCGCGGGTTACCACACCCAGAAAGGACCGTAAGATTCTCCATCAGCACCTGCGCAATCGACTCGGAACTGCTGTACAAACTGCTGAAATCAGCATAAAATGCACAAATTTTTCACAAAAGACTGAGAGTAGCTGGTATTCGTGCACGAATTAAGTCCGTACATTGAAAATCCACTAGCGCTGAGAGGTCGCAAAGGACATATAGATTGGTAAAGACGTATGCCTCTAGAATTTAGAGGCGATGTAAATGACATCAACTTAACCAGTCAATTTGGAACATAGGACTTATTTGATTTTTATCGCAAAACACTCTAAAATCGCTTTTGAAAACTAAGGTTTAAATTGAAAACGTTGATTATCATGTTTAATCTGAATATGCGTTTCTTTTTTTGTTGAGTATATTTTAAACTGTCATTTTCAATGAAAATTAAGAAAACCAGTATTAAAAATGGGAGTTTTTTCCATATCAGGCAAAGAAAATGTATCCAGATTGCCTACATTTTCAGAAAACGGTATATTTTATGTTATAAGTCTCTACTTTAAAATAATGTCAAATTCAAGATAGGTATAGGGACTACTTTTCATGTGATTTCAAATTCAAATTGAATTCCATGGAAATACTTTATTTTCTTCATAATTCTATTAGAACCGTAAAGTACGAGAAAAAGAAAGTTGAAGTATTTATGACGTCATAATGGATTTAGCACTGAAAAGTTATTCTAAAATCATTTACTAGATCTTGACCTTAAAGTCATATTTACGTAGAAGCTTGTAATATTGTGTGAAAAAAGTGTCAGTATGTAGTCCAGATCTATACATGGAAGTGTGTATGAAAAGATAAAGAAAACCCCCTAAAAAGCATTGATTGTCCATTGAATTAACCTTTTTTTCAGGAATCATGGCGTACGGTGGGATGGAGATATCGTTCGATGTTTATGCATGGGTCGTTGTTCTGGTGCTGCCCCTTAATTCAGCATTGAATCCATTCATTTACACATTCATTGTTATATACAGACAGGTTAGTTCTATAGCAAATTGTTTGTCTTACATCGCCATTTCCCCCCATTTTTAAAATTGGTAACTTTCATCTTGTTTAAAACTTTTCATACAGAAACGGGAATCACAAAAGAGTCAAACTATCTCCATGGATGATAAACAAAATAGACGATTGCTCAGCAAGACCCAGACTATCTCAAAGGATGATTGATAAAATGGACGATCGCTCAGCAGGAACTCAACATCAGTTTTGGGAAGGAAATTTTAAATCAGTTTCGTTTTAGCTGATAATAATACCTCAAAATATACAAATATCTCGCTTTCAATCCAGGTCCGATCGATAGATGATTTTCCCCCAATCATCCTGCATTTATCTTAACCCTCGACGTCAACCAGTGTATATGCACGGCGGCAAATTTAAAGTCTATGGGGATTGAACATAGTAAACTCATCCATAATCGTCACGAGGCGGGAAACCAGTTTATCGAGGGAGTAGTCGTTTATTTCAAATTAAAATTATTTAAATTTTTTTTTTTAATGGATCCCAGAAATGTCTATTATTCATCAGCAGATACCTCTATTTCTACAGTTCTATAGTTTTAATATTTCTCATTATTACACAAGATTGCCACTTTTCCGGATTATGGTACTCCGATCCTCAGGTTCTGAAAATCAAACATTGACTAAATGAATATGCTCACAAAAATGTCTCTGATGTCTCCGAATTATTAAAGTATAACGCGTTTTTACCCATCATAATTCTTCAAACTTCATCTCTCAAGTTAATCATATTATATAGAGAAAGTTTGTAACTCACAAATATATTTTCAGGAATTGCGAATAAAAACACCTGCTATGCATTTATATTTACAGAGTAAAAATTTTGACTTTTAATTAGACCTTTCTGAGAACTTCAAGAAACCTTGAAGCACATTAAGAGGTATATAATGAATATTGTTGCATGAAAATATTTAATTTTCAAGCTTCATTTTGAGACTTTTGAATTAAATTATAAATTAAAGAGTTGTCCTTCCTGGCTGAGGATCGGAGCCCCTTAAGAATAGAGTTAAAATTTGTGAAAGTGCAAGGATTTGTCAATCAAACCCGCCAAAAATTTGTTTTAATAACTTTCAAATGAAATAAGATTTTTAATTAATTTTTGTGTGAAATGCTATTAAAATATACTCAACAAAAAAAGAAACGCATATTCAGAATAATATGAAAATCTAAGTTTTCAGTTTCAATCTTATTATATTTAAGCGATTTTAGAGTGTGTTGTGATAAAAATCAAGGTTGCAAATTGAAAAGTCAAGTTGATGTCATTTTCATCGCCCCCAAATTCAAGGGGCATAACAATATGTACTGTGCAACGTGTCAATGCTAGTGGGTTTCCAATGTACGGATATCGTGGGAAAATACCATCTCATTTCAGTCTCTTGCGAATTTATCCAGCAATTGTAGCAGCAGTTTTTACAGCAAGTTCTGAATCGCATGAAGTGCTGAAGGGGGGGGGGGTTGTCTGACGGTCCTGCCTAGTTGTGGTTACCTGCGGATGGCCAGATAGTGGTCTTCAGACGTTAGTTTAACTGTTGCAAAACCCATTGATTTATTCCAAATACAGTTGCAACTTCCTGATGCGTAGCTCCGTTTAGTATCATCGTAAGCCTGGTTGTGTTCATCTTTTTTGCGGCGTGACATTGCAGTATCAACACTGCAATCAAATCTTAAATATGGGTTTAATAGGAGTGTTAAAAGTTTCTCTAAATCCAAAATATCAACGAAAATAGACATCCGATTTAGAAGAAATCATGAAAAACACTACTTTCATAAACATGTTTAATCAAGGGAGATAATTGAACACTTGGGTTATAAAACCCCATGTTGTCCTTTAAAAAGGTCACAGGTATTCAGTGATATAAAAAATAGTTGTTTCCTGTACATTTTAAAAATTTCTTTGACGAGTAAAAGAATATGCGTTTCTTTTTTTTTTTGTTGAGTATATAAAATTCGTGATATACAGAAAATAACTTCAATTCTGTGTCCAAGCACTTTTAAGTAAAATTGACAACATTTTATCAATAAGCAAACTTTACTCTTTTTCATATGAAGACTCGATATATCATAGTGAACTTGGAAAAAATACCCAAGTATCTGCTGCATCTCTGTCATATTTTGATATTTAACAGACTATAGATGGTAAGGGACATCAGTCATGCCAACTATTAAGACAATGTTTTTAAAACTGAATTCCGTCTACCCGACTAATAACGGTTGACTACAAGTTTTTTTTACCCGTTTACAGATGTGTTTTGTTTGTTTGTGTGTGTGTGTTTTTTTAATGAGATTGTGATAACTTTACCCAATATTCATCTTCTTTATTGTAATAATCATTATTTTCACCTTTCCCACAAATATAAAAATTAAGTTTCTTAGAATACTCATCTATTAAGTTTTTTTTCTCTTTTATTAAAATATGGTACATAAATAATTCATTGTACACAAAAGCATTATACATACATTGCATATCTATTTGAACCTCAAAATCACAAGAAATTGCCTATCTCTAGATATAAATTTTCATTAATTACATGTGCCGTCCTAAGAATTGCGTTTTGTAGACAGAGAATTTTTTTTATCTTATTTCGAAGAGTTTCTGTATACATATTTTCTTTTTCAAATCTACATTTCATTTTATATTTATAAATGTTAAAACATATAAATGACAATAAATTATTCAATCTCGTTGTTTTTGAATTGATTTCGTTGTAAAAACCTAGTACAAGTATTTTCCATGTGACTTCAAAACCCAAAAATAAACTAATTTTTTTCCATATATTTTTACAGAGTTTACACTTGTACAAGAGATGTTCATTGTCTTCAACAACCATACAATATTCACAATAAGGTTCTACATCTTTGTTCCATTCACTTACATTTAGATTATTATTCAATATGCAATTCAGTAATTTATAATTGAATTCAGCTACATTTTTTTCATACATATACTTAATTTTAGCTAGATATGCATTTTTCCAGATAAATTTGTAACTAAGATCGAAAGTCTTTTGCCACATATTTTCATAAACTGATCTTTGAAATTTAATATTTACCAAAATTGAATAATAAAAATGACATTTAAGATTTTCTAGAGTTCTTACGCTATTATCTCTAAATAAAAATGACACTTCGTTTTTAATATTAACAAATTTGGCATATGTACAATCAAATTTGTTTTTGAATTCTCTGAGTACTTTTTTTATCATGATATATTCACAAAAAATATTGTTTTTCTTTTCCAGTATATTGTAAAAGTGTTCAATACTAAAAAAGTTTCCATCATTATTAAAAAGATCTTTGATATAAGAATATTACTTTTTATCCAGTTTTCAAAACAAAGAGGTTTAGAATCATACTGAAACAAAATATTATTCCAAATGAATTCCGATAAAAATTGGTCTCTCTTTAGAGTTCATTGAAAGCAGAAATGACCTCACCATAGAAAAGTGGTATTTTTATCATCTTAAAAAAAGCAGTATTTTCAAAGTTACATACACTTGTTTTAACAATATCATTAACTGATAGGTTTTTAAGATTAAGAATATTGTCCAACATCTTACATATTATATTTTCTTTATTTAATAATCGTTTTATCCAAGAGGCTTTTGCTGCAGTAAATTTACTCTCTATATCAACAATACCTATTCCACCTTGGTCAATTTTACCGATTAGCGTATTTCTTTTTATCCTATCTTTTTTCTTCCATATAAAATTAAATACAAGTTTTGATACTTTTTTAAAGAATTCTTTTTTTGGATTTGACAAAATAAAAGCATTATATACCAATTTAGATAATGCTAGTGTATAAATTAAAGTACATTTTCCGAAGATTGTTAAGTTTCGCCTTCTCCAAACACTCAGTATTCTTTCAAGTTTCTCCAATTTATTTGTCCAGTTCATATCATAACAAAAATCCTTATCATGACCGAGATATATACCTAATGATTTTACATGACTTTTAGCAATTTTTACACCAAAAATATGATTTTCATTTAAATACCTTTCAATAAATTTTCCTGTTAATAAACATTCTGTTTTGTCCAAATTCAATTTCGGGCCTGCGACTTTGCTAAATTCACGTATTGTTTCTAAAGCTTTTTTTCATTGAATTAGTGTCTTTCAATAGATTAGTGCAATCATCTGCATGTTGAACGATTTTTAAATTTCCATTATCACCTGGCGATAGACCGATTATTTCTTCATTATTTTTAAGTTGAACTGCTAGTATTTCTAGCACAAAAATAAATAAAAGCACTGATACAGGACAGCCTTGTCTAATCCCTCTTTGCATTTCTCATGATTTTGACATCCAGCCATTATTTTTAACTTTGAAAGTTGGTTTAAAGTATAATTTCTTTATCATCTTGATAAAGTTTTCTCCAAAATTAAATTTTTCTAGAGTTTTGTACATGAAGTTATATTCAACAGAATCAAAAGCTTTTTCAAAATCGAGAAAGAGCAAAATACCATCAATATCATTATTTGTACAATATTCAAATATGTCTAATATTATTCTTGCGTTCTCCCCAATGTATCTACCTTTAATATAAGCACTCTGTTCACTACTAATTATTCTACTAGCAATTTTTTGCAAACGATTAGCTAAAACGTGAGCAAAAATTTTATAATCAACGTTTGTAAGACTAATTGGTCTATAATTCTTAAGATTTCCTTTCTCTCCTTTTTTATATATCAGGGATATCACAGAGTTTCTTTGCGAAAAGGGCAAAATACCATCATCAATACTTTTAAGTAAAGAGGGAAAAAATATTTCCTTTATATCATGCCAAAATCTTTTATAGAATTCTCCCGTTAGGCCATCTTGTCCAGGGGATTTGTTATTTTTCATTTTAAGAACAGCTTCTTCACATTCTAATTTTGTAGGTAACATGTCGCATAACTCTTTCTCAACCTTTGTGACCTTTTCGCAGTTAACATTCTTAAAATAGTTTTCAACTTCATTATCAGAAATATTTTTACTACTGTATAATGAGCTATAAAAAGTAAATAAGCTTTTCATAATATTATCATTGTCATAAACGACAGTCTCATTTTCATCCTTTATTTTAGTTATGCATTATTTATTTGCTGCTTTTTTCGAGACTTAAAAAATAAGAATTACTTTTCTCCCCTTTTTCTATCCACAAAGCTCTAGATCGTACATAAGCTCCATTACATTTCTGGGCATAATAAT